TAACAATATTCATCCTTAATATGGTAGCATAAGACTCAAGCAAAGAATAAGTAATAGTACCAAGGTACTCAAGTAGATAATTCTTTCACGCGCTACCAATCATACAGAGATAGTTAAAAAAATACCGACAAACCAAGTATTTGTACCGACAAAACAAATAAATAATCTAAATACATACTTTGCCATCAACTATGTCAAACTTGGCACAAGACAGTAGCATGCACGATAGCGTGTCGACTACGATATCGTGACGAAGCGATGCACTACCAGACATTCCGAAACTTTGAACAGACGAACTTTGTAAAAGCGCTTCAGTTTAGAGTAAAAATAGACATGAACTGAGTGCTTTGGTTACGATTAAAACAAAAGATTTAACTATCATGGCAACCTTATTGTTATTTGAAGGGATTTTTCAAACCTCTATCTGATGATAGATAATTTGGTCTGAAAATAGTTTCTAAATGAAACTTTATAGATAGAACTTATGATATTTCTAGTAATAATTAAATTAAATCTATAGAAAAATTTCTAGACTAGAGGTAGTCTTCAGTGGATCTTGTCACTTTGTATTAATTTTGTAAAGAAAACGCATGAGATATCAAGTGGATCACTGTAGTAGGTATCTATCCATCTTACGGTACTGGACTAATCCCACCTCTCGTTCCCGCCAATAAACCCAACCAGTGACTGTAAAAGTCAAGTTTGTATCTTATGGTAGTTGTAATAGTTGTTAGTTTGCAACAAAAATCTACAGCCTGATGTGCTACAAAGTCAATCTACTACTAAACGGTGCAGTAGGTAGCCTATATTCCTTAATTTTATTGTCTCAAGCGACATAGCGGCGACAAATTTGTATCTCATGGTAGTTGTAATAGGTAAATAGAACAAAAATCTACAGCCTGATGTGCTACAAACTCATTCTTCTACTAAACGGTGCAGTAGCCTGTATTCCTTAATTGTATTGTCTCAAGCGACATAGCGGCGACTATAATAGGATTACCGGCGCGTCGCCGCAACTGACGCGGAACGGTGTCGAGGAGAACTGAACTTTTAACTTTATACTGCAGGTTCTTTGGAAATTATCAAGGAGAGGTATAGTCAGTATAAGATACACAACTTTAGTGTAGAGTTGTAGACACAATGTCTTGTACACAAAGAAAAAGCTATAGTCCCACGATTCTGAGACGTCAAATGGCAAAAATCGGAACCAGTGATCGAGTATTGACGGTGGTGCCCCCCTGTCAATGTCACGGGTGGGACTAAGTGTAGGACATTTAGACCGATTCCATTATCAATAGAGTAGTTGACAACTCAGTCAATGAGGGCTATCGTTTTTATACTTAACAGTTGGCACCATTGGTAATTAACATGATCCTACTCTACAGTGGGCCATCCTGGTGAGTGCAAATGCGAAAGTCCTCCAATTTATCATTTGACGCCACTGTCTTCGCCACTAGCAAGTGACAATGACCTGACTCTAGCTAGTATAGCGGCGCCAACTGGTAAGCGCTGAAACTATAGCCCTAATTAATTAACGTACTTTTTATGTGTCAAAACGCGACTCTCCAATTTCTTATGGCAAAGACGCCCTATTCAACACTAGCACAATTTTTTAAAGTAATAGAAACTCTTTTTCATATTTACCTACTCGTTAATTCAGAGCTAAAAATATTGGCACTTACCCAATTTCTCAATTCGTCTTTTCCTACCGTTTTCTATTCCCTGTTCCACCTTTTCACGTTGTACTCTCTTATCGCGTACATCGCGCCAGGACGAACTAAATGTGGCAGATATCCGTTTATCTACTGGATACCTGCTGACGCAGGCGAGGAGGCTATTTCCTGTGATTCAACACATTTCCTGAGGCGTATCTAGCATAGTTTTTATTTTTATAGAAAAGAGGCAAGCGGATACGGTTTTGTTTTGGGATACTGAAATACCTGACCTGTTCAAAAGTATTTTTCATTTTCTAAATTATTTTTTTGTGACCAAGAAAATTTAATTTTCACCCACGCAGAATAGTCATAACGCGAACGTAACGTAGTACAAGTAATATCCCCTTCCCCATACATTTAAATTAAATCTAAAACACAATAATTATCTATTAATGTGCCAAAAAAACGAATAAGTCATGGCACCATTAGAATTAGAAATCAATTAAAAAAGCACAAACTTCTTTTTTCCCTTTTTAAATGTGTGGTTAAATGTACCCTTAAACTTAAAGCAAATGCAGTACAATAAATCACAAGTCTTATCTATGCCACATCAGAATTAGCATAACGTTAACATTACATAAACCTCGTTTATCTATACAGAATAAAGTACAGTAGCACGTTGAGCTTGACACTGTGATTCTATGTAGTAATAGGTGCTATATTAGCCTAAAATTATCTTTATGCCACGTGCGCGGGTACGTATGTTCTCTTCGTATACCTTTAATAAACATCTAGACACGCGGCAGCGTGTCAAGCCAAGTTCAAGCAAAGGAACTGGCTAGCCAGCGCAGAGTGTAATATCACACGAACCACTTGGTGACACTTTTGACCCTTTCTAAAATACTGAACACTGAGTTGGCTAAAATAAACCAACATTTCAGCCTTTAGCAACATTAGCAACCTTTACGGCCGTTTGTCTAGATCAGTCTACTATTCCAGAGGTCGTGGGTTCGATCCAGAGACAATACAAAAATTTTAATTAGAGATTGGATAGAGCAGTATAAAATGTATTTTTTTATGCATAACAAGGCAGGTATTTGACCACACGGTGTGCGTTTTGGTTTTGTGTCCAAGGTTTTTTATAATTTTATTTTTATTTGACTACAGCGAAGCAATTTCGGGGCTATTAGAACCGTATCTACACCTAAAAACATTATGACAAAATTATCATGTCATCGATTCCGCTGTCGCGCCAGTGTTGCCATCTTTATCCCCTCAGTATTACCATAGTAATGCGCGGCGCAAGCACTCCATCCTGTGCCGCTTCCTGCCACCGTTTAATATGCGGCGTTATTCGGGCACATCCGATGGGAAGGCGCCATGTTGGCAATCTAGGTGCTATAGACAATATTATAACAATTTACAATGAGTATTAAATGTATAAGGGCCAATCCAGATTTGCGGTATCCAGTAATGTTGAATCCCGCGAAACTGGACTGTCATTGCGCAAGTTAGTTTGAAATTCGGATTCCAAATTGTAACGGATCGGTTTTTTGAGGAATGAACTGGATTGCAAAGAAAAAGGGTCAGAAAATCTTCAATGCCTGCGCTTGCCTGCTGTTTTCCTTTAGGCCTTTCCTTAGGGCCTTTTCAAGGCGAGTGAGACTTACAGGGCAAATATGTATACCATCCTAGACTGCATCTCACTTAACACCAGGTGCAATGGCGGTCGAATACCTGCCTTGTTATGCATAAAAAAAATGTTCAAAAGTACGACGTAATAGGTAGTAAAACATAGTGACATTCATTTATTTTGGAGAGGTTGAGTAACACACTAAAACGTAAACAAAGCAAAAAATCGAACACTAACTCATGTCTTATTAATCACCGGTTTCCCTTTATGATTCAAAAGAAACAAGGAAAGAAACGAAGCCCTAAAACATGCCTAATGATATAATTTCCGAGAACCTCTCAACAAACTCACGATCCACGTTTAAGTGGAGTAAGAAACGACATTCTCTCGAAGGCATCTCAATTTTGTTCAATTGGTAAATTGTGACAGATAGCTAAGGAACCCGTGTTCCAACCAATTAGGGGATTAAACGAAAGTCGTTTTGTACACTCTCCACAGAAAACAGAAGGTCGATGACATACAGAATAAGGTAAAATTATCAATTTTGTCGTTCAAAATTTCAAATGACACGGTTTTTCGTTTACGTTAATTGTTTGTGTTCCGCTAGTTAGAGGTTAGACAGCCAGGTCCTCTGTAGTTGAGGATTCCGGGTGAAGCTCGCCTCGACCTTCGGCCTAATCGTCACTTTCCATCAGGCGATATGCAGGCCAAGAGATTCGTCTTTGTGGAAAACAACTTAGTGTGATAAACATACCATTGTTAAGGATACCGCATTCAAATGAAAAAAATACCCCAAAGATAGGCATATATCTACAGATACAAAATTAGTATAGTTCTTGCAACTCACGAAGGCGAGTGAGCTTTACTTGTGTATAACGTGTACATGTACATAACGATAGTGTAATGTCTGTCAAAACTTTTGAAAATCGCACAGTAGCGAGCCACCACACATGTAAAGCTCACTCGACTATGTCTTCGTGAATTGTAACAACTACTCGTATAAACAGAAACGTAAAACCCACTTTAATGAGTCAATTAGAACATCCAGTCGGATGGGTCCTTCTAGAAATTATTGTTTTCCCCGGTCAATAAACCCAGTGTTGCATTTTAGTGTCATCAGGCACGTACTTCCTACTGACTCAGCCTTATCGATAATGCCACCTGCATCGGTGACAAACGATCTATGAGGTAGCGCTGCAAGCAATAGTATAAAACAATCTATCGATACTATCGTGGCCTTGAAATATAATTGCAAAAAAGACACGACTATCAGTAATTTGCAATAGTATAAAATAAAATAAAATATCGTCGTACCTGTTACTAACACTAGTCATAAGTTATATTTCATTTGTACCTACTAAGTACCAACCCATGGACCAACTGTAGTCTGAAATAATAAAATATTTGAATTTGAAATTACAATGCTATCGATAAAATGTAAAATAATCGATAGTGTCTAAATTCAATAGTATCGATACCTTTACCTTACAACAATAGTGTTGCAAAACTATTGTCTAATTGAAACTATTGTGTCGTTAATGTAGACTATTTTTCTTGCTTGCACCGAAGTCTGGCCAGTGCCGGATTAACCCATAAGCAAATTAAGCCAACTATCGATAATCAGACTATCGATAGTTGTTACAACATTTCTATGGAGGGGGCTCGGTTTGTCGGGTTGTGATTTTTAATCTTGCGCAGTTGATTGGTAGCATTTCGATGTGACGCACGCGCATCCTAAGATCATTGAGTGACTTTTAAATCGTGACTGATAATGTAAATCCCAGAGTCTGAGGTTCTTTGGTAGTTTAACTATAAATTATTGGTAAATTAACTTAAATTCTTTACTTGCTTAAGGTACTTATCCAATTCTGTTACGTAACGGGTAAATACTTCCTTCAACTACAACGTCGATGAAGTCGAAAGTGAAATCAAAGTGAAGTGAAATTACACAGTGCTCAAAAATGGTAATGGAGTCGGTACAGCAAACCGGTCGGTTCTGGCCTCTCTCCCCTCGGCTATGGAGGCGAAGCAACGAGTATTCCAAAGTGGTTTTCGAGCCCCGAAGACCCCCTCTATCCCCTATCGAGGTCCGCAAACACGAAAGGGATATGACGCCAGATTTGCTCAAGCGCAGCGTCATAAAAGATAGACTGGATCACTTAAATTTGGAAGGGATCTACGAATTCGAGAAACAAAATCGATGGAGTGTGGATTCCAAGAAACCCCCGATCAAAGAGAAAAAAAGTGAGGAGGTGGTTAAATTGAGGGTTAAAAAGCAGAGGCAGCCGAGGCCGAACAGCCTCCAGTTGCTGTTATGTCCCTCCAATTCAGGGCACTATAGCAGTAACACTTGGAGGTATACCAGAGTCCGATCCAAGAGGTCAGTATTACTTTTTGTAACAAAACTGTGTGAAAAACGCGTTATCACTAACACTTATGTTAGAAAATATAAAGTTATATTCTAGATTTCTTAGATTAATCGAAAACCCCCTTGTAATATTTTTGTCGCTCAATTTTGTTGTATTTCTTGTAAGTCTATACTATCAGTCTAAATCTTATAACTAACATTTTCAATGTATCGCTGTTGGTTATTTAATTTAAATAAATAAATAACAATTAATCACTAGCGAATCAATAGGTACTTGAGATAAGGTAATTTTCATTGACTAAATCTATCCTTATATGGTAGTTCAGTTATTAGAGATAGCAACGTATGACTAACTTTTGTCCACGGCTTCGCCCTAGCCTTGTAGATTTCGGTCTATTACGGAACTCAGTTCCTACTCAGGAATAATGTAGCTGACTACTAGTGAAATCGCTTTAGTAGTTCCAGAGTTTACTTACTACAAACAAACTTATAAAAACCTTTATTATATTAGTACAAATTACACTACAAACACACTTAAAACTCTATTATTAGTGTATATTACCCAAAGTGCTTTAAGTAGCTTGCGACAAGTTGTTTTTATAAATATTCCGCTAAAGCAGCCTACACATGACCAATTCAATAACATTCATTCATGCGTGTTGTGCAATCAACAAAAACGTCAAGAATTCGCGTAGGTCGATGTCTTCTCAGAATCATTGATAACCTGTGTTTTCTTATAACATAGCTCTTAACTTAATGCCTTATGGTTGATAATTGCATGCTTCTTATCATGTTTAGAAGGTGCCAATACTGCCAATCTTTATTAATCATCTATCGTCTTAAAACTACTAATGATTGTTAGCAAACTAACAATTAGTTCACTTTTCTCTTAAGGCAATGACTTGAAATGATATAGCGTGAGATTCACTCGTGATTAAAAAGCAAAAGTTAGTTTCTTTTAATGAGATATTAATTTGGATTGATTGATTGATTGACAATGAAGATAATAATTGACATGTTTTTTTGACCAGCATACGGATTCTTTGTTCATCTTTGCAGCCTGATAGGACGTCTACTACAAACTAAGCATTGACCTTCTCCAACCGTTTAGACGTGAAGAAGTAGTAAACATCCTTACATTTCGATGATGTGATGCATGAACAAAATTTTTGTGGTCCTAATTTTAATAATTTGTAGTCTCCCTTTTTATGAAGAAATCCACCAATATCCATTTATCATAATGTAAGATATCAGCCATTAAGTAGGTAGTATCGTCACCCAATGACTATCTATCACAAGGCAGTTATGCCCATAAACGGACACTTGCATTATACTTCTAACCGATAGCTTTTTATTTGCTTTCATAAATGTTCCATCAAATTGTGCAACAGTGTGGGTGCGTGTGGGTGTCTGATGTCACCCCCGGGCCCATCAGGCCATCGGGCCCTTATGGCGTAACCACAATATTGTCTCCGTACCATGGTGGTACCATGGTATCCGCAACAGAGAAGATTTGCTACTTAATCTAGTATATCTATAAAAGCGAGAGGTCACTGATGGACTGACTCACACATCACGAAATCTCAGAAACTACAAGTGCTAGGAGTCCCAAATTTTGCATGGGGGTTCCTTTTAGAACGTAGGTGCTTACTAAGACGGGATTTTGCAAAATTCAACTCATAAGGGAGTAAAACGGTATCCACGCGTAAGAAGTCGCGGGCGGCCTACAAAATGTAATGTGTAATACATTTTATTCCTACTTATCAAATTCATGAAAGATTTATCTATCTAACTAAGAAATAATAAGAAATCTATTCACATGCTAATCTCTGGAGAAATGTGTGACCTTTTTCAAGCTAAATTAAATATTATTGAATTAGATTAAACCGAAAATTTTGGCTTTGGCCACTAATTTTCAAACAGTTTTTGACTGTCAATTTATGGGGATAATAGCTGTGAATAATTTGACTTCGCTTTTCCCATTACCCATAATCTATACATTACATGGTATGGTAATTTATTATCGCACGGCATCAGGTTGATCGTTTATCTGTTATTAACGTAGATAATGACAGATTGGGATTAACTTACTCATTAGAGCTTAATGATAAACTGGTACCGCAGACCGCATGTGAGATGTCATGTGCCAAATCTACATATTCAGCAAGTAATTATTATTAAGGGAAGTTTAGAGGTATAACATGCTCACAAAGCGACATGTTGTAGGTAGCTATCACAGGAAGACCAAATAGTAAAATAATTGGCGTCATGGCTATAGCCTTTGTGGTCATAAATATACAATTGTAGGTACATGATCACAACGCATTGTATTATCTGAATAAACCATCCTGAAAATCTGAATAACGTTAATAATAATTGTTTGTTTGACAAAACTAGCCTATCTAAAAAAACTGGAATGCAATTTGGGTTAGACTAAAAGACCTCGAAATTAAGATTTGAATATTAAAATTATGAACCAAAATTCACCTTTAGATGCCATTAAGTTTTAACCTTCCAAATAGCATCGTGTTCTTTTTAACCCAGACTAAAGCAAACTGAAATTGCGCCGGCAAAAACCGGGGTTATGTGCTTTAACGTCTTTTTTCGCCTCTGCAATATAAATACACGGTTATTGGTCACCATAACGCCTGATACCATAAAACGTAATGTTGATCGTAAAGTCTTTCGAATTCCTTTTTGCTTACGATGAAGGCTTTTATGGTAATGTAGCCAGATGGTTTTGCTTCCCTAAACCTTAGAGTTAAATTATAGGATTAGATTTCTATATCTTATGGTGAAATGCAACTCAAGTAGGTTCGGTTTACACTCAATGATAATGATGGGCATAGGAAACTTGCACAAATTCAAACAAAACCTTAGTCTTTATGATCATTCTTTTACATTAGGATTTTTAGATACTTACATCTCAAACGAATTCAAAGCTTAAAAAAATGACTGCCTTAGGTACCGTGGGAAATGAGATTTATGAACCCACGATCTTTTGCTTGCCAGCTGACGGCACTAACCACTAAGTTACGGAGACATTGGTAAACCTGTTGAAATTTTCAAGCGTAAATATCTAAATGATTTCAATGTAGACAGTCTGTATTTCTCTTAAAAATCCAAAAGAATCGATTATTTCAAGTTTTAAATTCGTTAGTGTCTCAAAACCACTCCACTTTCAACTCGTTCATTTCAAAGTGAATCGATTACCACTTTCAAATCGTTTATCCAATCGTATAACAAACAAAAAACAATCGTAAACTAGTTGTGTGACAATATTATTCATCCGACGCCAGCTCAATAGGCTTAGGTAGATACGACTTTATTATGCGTATTATTTGTTTCTTTATTTCTTTATCTCTCACCGGATGACGGAACCGATTCGTTGAGCCCACGCGTGGGAGGCGAAGGTCCGAGTGTTTTTGGGTCATTGAAATTAATAAGAAATGTTATGGGCTTAGAGACATGTTGACGCGTGATAAATATTAATTAGCTATGTTATTTGGTTGGACAGTTATTAGTATGTTACAATGTTGTTTCGATACTAATTAGTGGGTTTAAAGTAAACTTTATTGAAGCTAATTGCAGGTCAAACATCATCAACGTGCTAAACTATTGTGTAAATGTTTCCGATTAGGACCTATTAAATTGCAGGCTCAAATTCGAACTACTTAAATCCGGAAAAAGAACCTTAATTTTTTTGTTGTTTTAATACTAAACAAATTGATACAGTATTATGTATAAAACACTCAGTTTGATATCGGCTCTGGCCATTGCTTAGGCAAGGGTTAGGGAGGCTAGCATCCCTAAGTTTTAATTCCCTTGCCATCATTTTATCAATAAAATATCACACACTAATCCCACATTTCGGATAATTTGGTGACATCACTAGTAGGTCCTTTTATTTTTAATACAACGCTTGGAATGTGTTAATGTCTGAACGCGTCGGGCATGACAATATCCGAAGTCCGGTAATATGATAATTTCGGATATCAACGGACGTTCAATTAGAGGCTGGCGACCGTTAGATATTATTTACGTGGCTTGAATCACAGATTCTTATTCTTATACATATCATTATATAACTTATACATATACTCAGATATTCTTCTTCCTACTCATATTCTGATATTGTCTTGAGGTGCTGCCCATCCTGGTGCAAATAGCACGGGTGCAATGTAAGAAACAAAAAAAATGTAGATGCGGTGTCAAATTTTAACCAATTTACATAAAACCTTATGTAAACCTTATAAAAGTTATCATACCTACATATAAACCTTCCTTCTGAAACACTATCTATTGATGAAAAACGCTTTAAAATGAAAATGAAAAATTCAAAGCTTAAGTCAAACGGAGTGACCGAGTGTACTCGTTATAGGATATTACTTAAGTAAGGTACATACACGACGATTATTCTGAGGTAAGTCTCGAATCCTGGGCCCTTAATATAAAACGACAGAATTTAATTTTTAAACAGTTTTGTTTGCAATATACCAAGTTCTATTGACATCTCTTAGCAAATCTTGTATATAATATTGTACCTAATGCCACCTATGTACTGTTAATGGACACTAATGGGTCTTGGCTATACAACACGGTACAAGACAATGTAGCCATTTTGTACCGACCAAAGTGTGTCAATGCGTGAAACATGGTAATGAGTAGGCATATGTTTTGACCACAACAATCAGAATTATAATAAGTTATAATAAGTGGATAGATTATAGTGGTGTGTTGTCAGTAGAAATTGTAGATCAGTTTTGGTAACATATAGTCATACTATATCTGATTTTTACAGTCAGCGTCACATAGTTTGTGACACGCAGAGTGGCCAAAATGTTGACAACACAACCTTATTCTAATTGTAACAAAGGCGTGTTGCGAACTTTTTTAATTTGGGTCTTATGAACTATTTGACGCCGACTGTACATACAACATAACTGTGTGTTTACTACTCGAAAATTAATTATTGTTCCTTCTATGGTACTAAATTAGCCATCTCGAAATTA